TGCCAATACAAGATTCAAATATTTTAGCAAAAAAATTGCATTAAATGTTTTCAGTCTATCTAGATTGTATAGACAAGGTTCTTGATTTTGAACTTTTGACGTTAATGTTTAACCTTTCAATGTTGGTACTTTTTTAGCGACGATTATTCTTTAATTATTCGTTTGTCCAAGTTCAATTCCAATATGGAATTCTTACTTTCACTTGTCATTCTATCCAACCAGATCTCCCTAGACAAATGTTATACACGACTCTCCCATATTCTCCTATTTTTTTTAGAATAAAACGAGTTATGCTTAAATTAAGAGAGAATTAGAGAAAAAAAAATGTAAGGCTTTGTCTTCCCCTACCTCGTGCATGCTTCCAATTAAGTTGTGGATCTTAATTATTGTTATTTTGTGAAGTCCGTATGCAGATCAACTTTCACGGTGAGGTCAACGTGGGGTTAGAAGCCCTCTCTCGGTGCGAGGGACGGATCTCCAAGACTAATATTTTATTAAGAATAGTTTAGGAATTTATGTTCTTATAATTTTCGATTTTATCTCAATTTGTCTCATTAAATTGAAATAAATAGAGAGTTATCATTATGCTTTTATATTACCATCATTAAAAGAAAGAAAGAGATGTTAGAGAAGATAAGTGTGAGATTTTTTCTTGTAAATTTCTTTTAATTGCTGTTGCAACGAAAGATGACATAGTTTTACATTGAGATGAACCTCTATAATTTTTGTGATTTTTGAGTGTTTATTTTTCTTTCTATGAATTGAATTGTTTCGATTGAATAGAATTGAGGTTTTTAATTCTCACTGTCCTCCTTCACCTATCCTATTGAACCCCCTAAACCCAGTCTGTTACCACCACAGTCCTAACCTACTAGTTTGTGTTGTAGCCTTCGAGCCTCTTACATAAATTGTTGGAAATAAAAAGGATCACAGAATCACTTTGATATTAATTTGTTGACAACCTGGTCAAATAAAAAATACGAGAATAATAAGAGTAATATGAAAAATAATGAATCATACAACAACACAAGATTTACGTGAAAGAAAATGAGAATTCCATATACCAAGAAATTAAAATTGTGTTTACAAAATTTGATACTCTCAATCTAAATCTAAACAACTTTTTCAAATTTCTAATGTATACAAAAATGATCTAATTGTTGTGTTAAGTCTATAAAGAGCCTACATCTTGTAGAATACGCATAGGAGTCCATCATTGGAGCTATGAATTCAGTAAAGCACAAAAAAGTAGTAGAAATCAACAAAGAGGCCTCTTCAAAATGTCAAGTGGTGTTGTAGTGCTACAGCCAGCGCCCGAGGGCCAAAACCCCTTGTTGCCTCCAAAATATGCAGCCTTCGCCATCACAATGCTTATAAAACACTTTTTCATTCATTCCAAAGTCAATTCTCCAACAAATTCCCAATTCATAATGAAATTTGATTATTTATCAAACCGAACTTCCAAACCAATATTATCTAAGCTTCCTCTATGAATCAAACTTCCAAATTATATGAAATTTGAGTCACAAACATCACATAAATAGTAATAATAAAACTTGAGAACATGAACTAGCATGTTTAATAGTGACTATACGAGTAAATTTAACACACGGTGATAACAAATTAGCCATGAATATCGTATTGACAGTGACAATGAGCATAGAAGGAGCTTGAGAGTGGATTAGGGCAATGGTGAGCTGCAGATGGGGAGAGAGGGGTCAGTGGACAGATGGAAGAAAAGTGGAAAGATTTGTCTCAGTTTGATCCCCATTTTTAACTCATTTTTTCTCGAACTTATTTTCAAGTTCACAATTCAAGAGATCCATAATTTTTATTCACTTTTCAATCATATATTTCTCGAACTTTTATCAAAATCTATTAAAAATCTAAGTTTTATCCATTAAAAACCGGGGCTTTGTAACTTTTTTATTAAGAGCAAAATCGTGTAATAAAAATAGTTTATCGGTTCAATATATACTGAACATAAACCATCAAATACCCTTAATTTATTGAGGAAAAAATAACGACGACGGATGTATAATTATAAAAAAGATTTTTA